TCCACGTGAGCCGTGTGCTGTGTGCCTGTCATCCCACCTCACGTGTGGCCTCCCTGGCCTTTGGCAACAGGATGTCCGGGGTCCTCATGGACCAGGACAGCTCCTCAGCCGGTGCTCATGTCCTGCTGGGCCTTGGGTTTCAGGGCTCTCAGAGTGTGGTTGTAAAGTGTGGCTTCTGTAGGTTCCGGCCCCATTGTGTGGCCCTCAGACTCTGGCAGCTATGCCATGAACCACAGGGCTGTCAGCAGGTGCCATCTAGTTTCCACGACCTCTTACACTGGCAGACACACTGTGCCCTTTTCCTGCTGGCTCATGTGCTCTGCATAAAACTGCACCTGACTTGTCCACGCACATGCAGGGGCCTTGGGTCCTACTTGTCCTAAGCTGCACTCCCCTCTGCCCCACACCAGCCCAACCTGCTTCTCCTCATGCTTCTGACCGCCATGGAAGCTCCACCACTGCTGGACATGTGGCCTCATTCTTCTTTTGAGATAGGGTCTCACTGTGTATGTCAGGCCGGCCTTGAATTGATGTAGCCAAGACTGGCCTTGAACTTGTGGCAGTCCTCCTGCCTCAGCCTCTCGAGTGCTAGGATTATAGGCATGTGCCACTGCACCCAGATGGAAATGTGGACCTCGTGTTTGGTGTGGCCTTTCCTTAACCCCCACAGCCCTCAGTTCTTACCACCCAGCCCTATCTCCTGCTTCCTTGAGCCTGAGATTATAGCTTGCTCTTTGAGTAGGTTCCACATACACCACCCCTTCCCCTGCCCCTATCCTGCACACTCCCTCTGCACTGGGCAGTGCTCCAACACAGCTTTCTGGTCATGGCTTTCATTCAGCTCCTACAAAACAGCTGCAGCTCGGTTTGGTCTGGTACTCTGGAGGCCAAGGCGGAAGGATTACCTCCAGTTCAGGGTCAGCCTGGACTACAAAGCAAAACCCTGGTTCAAAAAAATAAAACGAAACAAACAAAAAAAAAAAACCTCCACAACTAAAAAAACAAGGCATTAGCTCTGACCCAGGTCACAGTATTACCTCCCCAGTTCAGTGTACCCCTCCTGCCTGCCGAGGACTTGATGATCCCTATTTGTGCCACTGCACACCCTTTGTGGCAGTCCAAGTACAGTTCTGACATCCTGGGCCCACAGAGGCGTTCCTGGTCCCCAGAGCAGACTGTGTCCTGCGCCCTTCTAGTGAGCAGCACCCCATGTGCCCCCTGCAGGAGAAGATGCTGGACATCTACTGGCTGCTGCGCATCTGCCTGCGGACCATCGAGCACGGAGACCGCACAGGCTCACTCTTCGCCTTCATGCCTGAGTTCTACCTGAGCGTGGCCATCAACAGCTACAGTGCTCTCAAGAATTATTTTGGCCCTGTGCACAGCATGGAGGAGCTCCCAGGTGACAGGGCCATTCCAGCCTGGAGGGGACAGAAAAAGGGCCTTTTTCTGTCTGGATCAGGCTGCAAGCTGCCAGGCCCCAGCCTCTGCCCTGTCCCAGACCTTAGTGTCTTCAAGGACAGTGCTATGGGAATCAAAGCCATCAAATCTATGTACTGAGAAGGGTTTGAGCCAGGCTTGGGTCTCTTGCCAGTATCTGCCTTCTTCCCAGAATAAGGCTGTGCCTTTGCCCTTCCTCAGCTGCCAGTGAGTGCCCTGCTCAATGTCCCCAGGTGCCAACCCAGGTCCAGACTGGCCTTTAAAGCCTGCTGTGGAGTCTAAGCCTGGAAACCCTACCAAGGGACAGGCTGGCCTCTGGCACCTCCACTCAAGGCTCCCAGTTCTCACTGTCCACCCCTGCAGGCTACGAGGAGACCCTGACCCGGCTGGCTGCCATCCTTGCCAAACACTTTGCTGACACACGAATTGTGGGCACTGGTAAGGTGCCCGAGGGAGCCTGGGTGGGTCTGGGATGGCATGTGTGGGGGCCAGGTGGAGATGAGGCAGGGTCCTCATGTCAGGTACCTCTCTGCTAAGTAAAGCATGGGCCTATCCCTGCAGATATTCGAGATTCACTTATGCAGGCTTTGGCCAGCTACGTGTGTTACCCACATTCCCTGCGGGCTGTGGAGCGGATTCCCGAGGATCAGTAAGCGGGATGGGTTGGGACACACATTCTCCCCGGCCTAGCACCATGCCCAACTTCACCCTGACCTGTGCCCACCATCCCTCACTGTCACAGGCGTGTTGCCATGGTGAGGAATCTCCTGGCACCTTATGAGCAGCGGCCCTGGGCCCAGACCAACTGGATCCTGGTGCGGCTGTGGAGGGTAAGCCTGTCCTGGGGGCTGGGCTGGTGGCAGGTGGAGAGTGTGCTGCCCCACTGACCCCTGCCCGCCCCACCCACAGGGCTGTGGGTTTGGGTACCGATACACACGGTTGCCGCATCTGCTGAAAACCAAACCTGATGATGCCAATTTGCCTAGCCTCCAGAGTGAGTACCGAGGTGGCTGGACCTACAGGCAAGCTGTGGCCCTTGCTCAGCACCCTGAGTTCTTCCACACTTCTCCTCCTAGCCCTTTTCCTAGACGTGTGGCATGTTCCAGACACCCTGCCTCTACCCAGGTTTCCTTTCCTGGCTTGCTCCCAGCCCAAGGATACCCTGGAGCTGCTCCCTCTGGCTCTGCTGTCCCATGTGTACTCTTTGGACCTGTTACTCTGCAAGGGTCACAGTGAAAAGCTGCTACATTTTTCCAAGGGTCCTGGCAGCACACTCTTGGCAGTGTCCCTTGCTCTACATGCCAGCTCCCTGACACCCAGCCTTGTCCCAGCACTGTCCTGCTGCTTTGTTACCTATAGGAGCCAGATCTGGGGCTTGGCTTGGGCTTTGGACCACTGAGTCAAGAGGCAAGAGGGCACAGAGCCGGTTGTAGTGGTACATACTTGTCATCCTAGCATTCAGGAGGCAGAGGCAGGAGAATCACTGCAAGTATGAGGCTGGCCTGGGTACATAGTAAGTCCAAGACCAGTCTGAACTATATACTAAGAACCTGTCTCCAAAAGCCAAAAAAAGTTGGAGGCATAGGCTGGAGGTGGCCAGAGTACCTGAGGGTGCACCTGGGCACATGGAGTTTCCTTGAGTAGGGGACATTTGCCCAGGAATAGAGGCTATGCCCTTTGTCCTGTGTCCAGCAAAGTTCCTTGAGCCTGAGTACTTTTCTCTATCCACCTTTGTAGAGTGCCTGCCACATGCCATTCTCACCATGCCCACAGTATGTTTCTTCTGCCTTTGCAGTGAGGGTGTTCTGGAGAAGCCAGGTGCCTTATGCAAAGTCACACAGCAAGTCCTCTCCAAATGCTTTTGGCCTGCCTCTAGGGCAGAACCAGGCTGCAAGGGGAGGGCAGCAGACCAGACACTATCCTGTGGCTGCAGGACTATTGATTAGCATCAGGGAGGCTGGGGAGGGAGGTGAGGCAGCACAGCCCGGAGCTCCGGTTACTGCTGCCAGCTGGCCCAGACTTGGCACCCACCACCTCACTGTGTATCAAGGCCAGGCCAAGGGCAGCAGTACCACACAGGACGGCAGACTCAGAGTAGGTTCCTGGAAAAGATGGCCTTGGTCCTGGTGGGTACCTGACCGTGTCTGACAGGCATGTGAGTCAGAACTCACTGGGGTCGAGCTGCAGCTGAGCAGCTGCTCTAGGCCTGAGGTTTTAGACTGGAGAAAGCTGAAACCTGGGGCTCATGCAGCAGGAGTCAGAACCCTGTCCCCTTGCCTTCTTGACCTGTCATGAGCCCAGGGTAGGTAAGAACAGGGCATCTGGAGCTGCTGTGTGGAGTCCCTGTAATGCTCCCTCCTGCACCCCACAGAGCCCTGTCCCTCCACTCTGCTGCAGCAGCACATGGCAGACCTGCTGCGGCAGGGTCCTGACGTGGCACCCAGCTTCCTGAACAGCGTCCTGAACCAGCTCAACTGGGCCTTCTCTGAGTTCATTGGCATGATCCAGGAGGTGGGCCAGGGTAGGGAGCCAGGGTGGCTGCCAGCCTGTCCAGAGCCAAGCTGTGGCCCTGGGGTACTGCAAGCCTCACTGCTGCCTACCTACCTTCTCGTGCTTCAGATTCAGCAGGCTGCTGAGCGCCTAGAGCGAAACTTTGTAGACAGCCGGCAGCTCAAGGTGTGTGCCACCTGCTTTGACCTTTCGGTCAGCCTGCTGCGTGTCCTGGAAATGACCATCACACTGGTGCCTGAGATATTCCTAGATTGGGCCCGGCCCACCTCTGAGATGTTGCTGCGGCGTCTTGCACAGGTGCGTGCAGCTGGTGGGTAGGAGGGACCCTGGGGATCTCACCAGCGACTTGTCTGTCCACCAACAAGTGCCTGCCTTTGCAGCTGCTGAACCAGGTGCTGAATCGAGTGACAGCCGAAAGGAACCTGTTCGACCGTGTGGTTACCCTGCGGCTGCCTGGTAAGGTCCTAGATGCCTCGCACCCCAACACCACACCACAGGGCTCGGTTCCCTACCAGGATGGTCAGGCATAGCACCCCAGTCTCAGTTTACCTCTCTGTAGGGAGGACAGTGGGAAGCATGGATAGTCAGCCAGATCTGGGCATCTGCTGAGGGAGCACGTGGGTGGTGGAGAGCACGGGGGTGGTTCATCTCCCTCCTTCCTCCCTGTAGGCTTGGAAAGTGTGGATCACTACCCGATCTTGGTGGCAGTAACGGGTATCCTGGTACGACTCCTGGTGCATGGTTCAGCTTCAGAGTGAGTGCTGGGGATTGTGAGCCCCAGGGGAGCTGGGGGGTCCTTGGGAGGGGAAGGGAGGACCTCCTTGAGCCTCAGTCTCCTCTTGACAGCGGACCTCAGCAGGTAGAGGGAAGGTGGACGGATGTGAACTGCCTGAACAAGTGGCAGTGGCCGCTACTACAGGTAGCAGACTTGGGGAGCTAGCAGGGTAGGGCCCCTGGCTTACAGCTGTGCCTCTGGGTGGGAGTTGGGCGTGGTGCTGTCCACAGTAGTCAGGGCAACCCTGCTGAATCAAGAGCTGTGCACACGATGCTCCTGCGTCTGCAAAGCTTCAGCAGTAAGCAGGTACTGCCTTTATTAAGGAAATCTGCAACAACAAGGCTAGGACAGCCACAGGGATCCCCAGCTCAGCCCCCCATACCTGAGGGGCTCCCAGACCCCTTTCCTTTCCCCCTGCAGTGGGAGTGGTAAGATGTACCAGCAGCAACCTTTAAGAGGCTTCTGCCTTGAGAGACAGCAAGTACTGACTGGGCCTTCCCAGCTTGGCCTGCTCACCAGCTATTTACTGCTGTGTGGGACCCTTGGGATGGGCTCTGCCTTCAGAGTGACTGCTGGATGCCCCTGGCTAGAGAAAGCAGTGCCATTCTGACCGGGACTCAGTGCCCCAAGGGTGTCTTGAGACTGATGGTTGAAGCATTTAGTGAGTTGAATGCTGGTGGACTGAGGACACTGTTTCACCCAAGGGAAGAAGAAAGACTCTATGCTGCCTCCTGCCCGGGGTGGCCCTCTTCCCCTTCCCCGTGGGCTCACTCTCAACTGTTCTGAGTACATTTTAAATGCAAGTGGTCTTCCGAGTAGGCTGGGTCCCCAATCCTCATGGGACATTTGGGCTTCGGAAGGTCTAGGAAAAGCAGGCATCAGGTGCCAGGGCCTCAGGGCCCTGTGTTAGGCAGCGCAGAAGGCAGTTTAGGGACTCCAACTCTTCTGCCAGGGAGTAAGGCCCCTAGGTTCACGTGAAGGCCCATACAGGAGCGAGGGGGCCAGGTTCAGCCCACCAGCGCCTGGCAGTCCTATGAACAGCAGCAGGGAGCATGACAAGCAGAAGGGCCACAGCCTGGGTGGGCCCTGGGCAGCCTAGGTCATCATGAGCCCCTCTGAGCCCGTGGAGCTGACAGACTCAGAGCCTGCCTGAAGTGGCAGGCCTGAGAGAGTGCAGAGATCGAAGTCCTCGGCAACTGCCAGCTGCACTCGTCCATTGAGGCCCCTCCTGCTGGGCTCCAGGAAGACCACATGCTTGTGGACACTGGCCTTGCGGCTGGGTGCATCTGGAGATGTGGTGCTGAGCACAGAGGACTGTGCGCTTAGCTCCTGGAGTGGGCTGGGTGCTCGGAGCCAGTGGCGGCCACAGCAGACCCGGCAGCGGCAACAGCAGTGGCAGCAGCCACGGCAGGGCGGCGCAAACAGGTAGAGCAGCACGAGCACCAGGCCCACAGCACAGCCCAGCAGCGTGGTGAAGCCAGTGTTGAAAGCCTCTGGCTCTGGGTGTGGAAAGTGCACACTGACATTGTATTCAAGAGTCTGGTTGTGGTGCAGGTGGGGCCCAGTGGCCAAGCACACAAAGATGCCTGCATGCTCCTGCTGCACAGTGCTGATGGCTAAGCTGCCGTCTGCCAGCACTGTAATGCTGCCATCACGAGATCCTGGTGCCAGGAGCAGCTCGTGCTGTGGTGAGACCCAGGCAACACTCACTGCTGGGGCACTGGTGTTGCAGTAGAGCCTTAAGGACCCACCCACCTGTGCATGTAGCTGCTCTTCAGGCTGCTCTAGGCCCAAGGCTGGGGCTGCTGAGCAGTTCTCAAAGATGCGGCTGTGCTCAAAGAACCGCACACCAGATGCAGGGACCTTGAAGGCCAGGCATGTGTACTCATGGGCAAAATCTCGCACGGCCCTCAGCCCCCGCTGGTGCCAGCGATGCAGCAAGTGGTAGAGGCGGCAGTCACAGGGTAGTGGGTTGTTGTGCAAATAAAGCCCATTTTTGAGGAAGGCTGGCAGTATGGCTAGCTCTGAAATGGAGATTAGTCCCAGCTGGTTAGAAGACAGATCCAGGGTACGCAGGTGGGTCGTGCCCAGGCCATGCAAGTGGTTGAAAGAGAAGGAGGAGAGTTCATTGTAACCCAGGTAGAGGTGGCCAAGCACTCTTAGGCCATGGAAAGCATGCTCGTCCAAGCGTGTCAGACGGTTGTTAAACAGAAGCAGCGTCTCCAGTGCTCCCAGCCCGTGAAGGTCGTGGCGGCCAAGTGCCCGCAAAGCATTAGCCGACAGGTCCAGCAGCTTCAGGCGGCTGGCGTTGCTAAAGATGCCGCGACCCAGCACATCCAGCTTATTGTGGCTCAGGTGCAAGGCGCGCAGCCGGGAGAGGGGCGCGAGCCAGCCAGGGCGGAGGAGCCTGAGTGCGTTGTGGCTCAGATCGAGGTCTTCAGCTGCTGAGGGTAATGTGGCTGGCACGTCCTGTAGCCCGAGGCCCGCACAGCTCAACAGATTGGCAGCGCAGATGCATTTGTAAGGACAGTTATGGAGTGTTGGAGGCAGGAAGCCCTCAGAATCTGGGGTGCCTAATCTGAAGCGCAGCATGCACAACAGTACAACCAGTAGCACCCGCCAGGCCATGGCAGCGACCCAGGGTGGGATAAGGTAGCTCTGCAGGTTACAGCTCCGGGACTCACCCTCTTGCTGCTCGGGCTCAATATACAGGCACCTGCTGGTCCATGGTGAAGGAGTCACTGCTGGGCCTGCCTCACACGGCCGCAGCGGCTGCCCTCCGGTTGCGGACTGTGATGGGTACCCCGGGGCTCAGCACACCCTTTGGCTCCCCTAGGTTTGCCGGCGCGCGGTCTTGGTCTGCTTCTAAATACTGGCTGGAAGGTGAAGGGGGTGGGGGCGGAGCGCCGGGCTCTCATTGGCTCCCGCTGCAAGGGGCGGGGCAGCTGCTTTCCAGGAGCTAGAGCCCAATGCAGCCACCAGAGGGGGCGAGTCCGGCCCTAGCATCCCAGGCCGTTCTTCGCTGATGGCCCGCAGTTTTTCCAAAAAGTAGAAGGGAAATCTGGATTTGTTTCTGTGCCGCTGTGGCTGCTCAAATTCTTTATTTGCAGTGAATTTTTCTATTGTAAGACTGCACCGTCCCCCCCTTCAATGGGCATTTGATTATATTGGACCTGTGACCCAAGATTTAAGGATTGGCAAGCAGCAAAGGGTGAAGGGGCAATGACATAAGATCTGGATTATCACACAGCCTGCTCATAGATTACTTCCCATAAACAGCCCCAAAGCCACCGCAGCATTCTTAAATCTTCCCTACCTAGGACAGAGCGAGCCACGTCAGTGCTCCTGGCTGACCCCTGTTTCCAGCTTCGTTCTATATGCTACCTCCTGGGGCAGTCAGAGCCTCCAGCACCTGGCACTGCCCTGCCCGCCCCAGACCGGAAGCGTTTCTCCCTGCAGAGCTGTAAGTGGGCCCTGGGGTGGGTCAGAGATCTGGGACTGCCTGAGATCAGAGTCAAGAACAGCAAAGGCTGGAAATACTGAAGACACCAGGTTCCAGGGCCACACTGGGCCTGACCATACCTCCTGCTCACCCAGACACAGATTATATCAGTGCGGAGGAGCTGGCCCAGGTGGAGCAAATGCTGGCTCATCTGACCTCTGCATCTGCTCAGGTGGCAGCTGCGTCCTTGGTGAGTGGATCCACAGCATGCAAATCCATGCCATCTGAATCTTGGTGTGCACCAGTGTAGGTGTCTTGTGTCCAACTCCGGCACAACCTCCATGCTCCTCCCTTAGCCCACTAGCGAGGAGGACCTCTGCCCCATCTGCTACGCTCACCCCATCTCCGCTGTGTTCCAGCCCTGTGGTCACAAATCTTGCAAGTAAGTGGGCCCCATGGGCTTGTGGGAGGGGCACCAGGACACACAGGGAGTCCTTATCCCCTTCCATTGTAGAGCCTGTATCAACCAGCACCTCATGAACAACAAGGACTGCTTCTTCTGCAAAGCCACCATCGTGTCTGTAGAGGATTGGGACAAAGTAGCAAATACAGGTGCTACCTCCTCGGCTACCTAGGTCTGCCTAACCATGGCCTGCACCATCCTACAACCTCCACCCTTAAAGGCTGACCCAAGCTGAGCCCTATTTATGAGCTCATTCTGCTTCACCCCACCTCCCTCCCACCATGTCCAGCCTCCTTCTCGCCTGCCTGTAGCCTCATTGGTGGGAGCCCAGCCATGATCCTAATTATGCCTGTGCTCAACTTTCAGTCAGGGCCATAATGAGCATTAAATTATTATTGTATACAACCCTGGCCACAGCCCTTCTTGAAGGAGTAGAGTTTACGTGGTGTGTTTAGCAGGGGTGCTGTCAGTTATGTCCATACAAGAAGGCAGGTGTCCTGCTACACTTTTGGCCTTGTCTACTCCTCCTCAGGAAAGTGGCACCAAGTCCAGGGCCTCCTGATGTATCCAGCCAGTACTCCTGCTGATGGGGAAATGGCCTGGCTTGCCCCATAAAGGCCCTCACATGATGATGCGAGGCTCTGGTACCGATTCACCAATTGACTTGTGGGGCAGCACACTGGCTCCATTGAGGTAGAGCTCATCGTTAACAATGACATCCTCGCCCAGAACTGTTACATTCTCCATACGCACCTGGGGGACGGGAGGCCTCATCAGTGTGGCAGATGCATTCCCCACCATCCTCCCCAGGAGGCCCAGTTTTAGGCTTACCCACTGGCCCACACGGCAGCGCCAGCCCACAATGCATGACTCTAGCCAGGAGTGGGAGCAGATGCGGGCATCCCGCAGCACCGTGCACCGCCGGATGCACACGCCATCTTCTACCACCACACCAGGACCGAGGCTGACATTGGGGCCAATGCTGCAATTCTGGCCAATACGGGCACTTGGGTCCTGAGAGCAAGAAGGAAAATACTGGTGGACCATTTGTCTCCCAAGACCAAGGGAATTCATGATTGGTTGGTCAACAGCCTCACCACAAGCACGTTGCCCACAATGCCAGGGCCTGAGTATAGTCGTTCAGGCTGCTTCTGCCTCAGTGACTGCAGGAAGAGGCACATGCCAGTGAGGAAATCCTTGGGCTGTCCGATGTCCATCCAGAAGCCTATAGGAAGGGTTGCATCAGGAGGCTCAGCCCAGCCACAGAGCACCCCCTCCCTGTGGCCTCCCTGCCTCACCCTGCAGCTCCATGGCATATAGCTGGCCCTCCTTGGCCATAACGGGGAAGACCTCCTTCTCAATGGATGTAGGCTGCAGCTGTGAGAATGGGCAGCTTGTGAGCAGGGTCATGGCAGTGGTAGCCCATCCCACCCAAGTCCACCCACCCAGAAGCCACCTCCCACACACCTGGATGCGTTGCAGCACAGCAGGGCTCAGGATGTATATGCCTGCGTTGATCTTATTGGACACAAATACCTGTGGCTTCTCCACAAACCGGTGAATGCGGCCTGTGTCTGCCTCACATACCACCACACCATACTTCGAAGGCTCCTCCACTTTGGTCACCTGAATACAGGAGGACCACAGGCCTAGCCCAGTGTTCCTGAGCCTTGATAGATATACTGCCTCAAGTCTCAGGGACCCTGCCCAGAAACTTAAAGAGACATAGTATACTGCACAGTTCTACATTTGTAACACAGGAGACAGTTCAAGGTTAGGGGAATGGGAAGGCTGAGCAGAGGGGTGGGAATGTCAAAGCCCTTACCAGGATGGAGCCTTCCTGACCATGGTGTCGATGGAACTGCACCATGGCTTGGAAGGGGAAATCACAGGTCACATCACTATTGAGGACGAAGAAAGGGTCTGCAGTCTCAGTGAGCAGGTCACGGGCCAGTGCTAGAGGACCAGCTGGAGAAAGGGGGCAGGTCACCGCCTTGCAAGGAGTACAACTCACCAGGCCCCACCCAGGCTAGGTCAAAGTCTTTTTCTAGCCCTAAACCCTTACCAGGGGACCGTCTTGTCTCCACTGACCTGTCCCCAAAGGTTCCTCTTCGTGAGACATGGAAATTCGAATACCCAACTGGAAGGGAGAAGCCACGACATCAGGCTCTACTTCCAGGGCAGGAAGTTGAGCAGGAACCAAGGGTAAGGGCTGAGTCCGTGCCTCACCCTATGCTCCTGGGCCTTCATTTCCTTCTCCAGCACTTGAGACATGTAGCTCACGGCCAAGATCACGTGATCCACACCTGCCTGGACAGACAACGCAGGCCGATAGACCCAGTTGGCTAGGAAGTGCTCACTAGCCGCCCCCTACCCTATCCCTCAAGGTCAGACCCCGCAATTTACCGCGGCAAGCGCCTCCACTTGGTGCAGCAAGATGGGTTTGTTACAAAAGTCCACCAGCGGCTTCGGGATGCTCAGCGTCAGCGGCCGCAACCGCGTCCCATAACCGCCCACTAAGATCAGTGCCTTCATCGTGCCTGCGAGCGTCAGGAGTCCGTGCAGGCCCGCAAGGACCACCTCTGCCGCGCACTTTCACCGTCTTGCCTTATCCCGCGCCCCTCGCCGGCCAGACTGGCCGACTCTGCTTCCAGCTGGTCCCCAGGTCTGGCCCAGGAAGCCGTAACCGTAGAACACAGGAAGCGACGGGAAGGTACGTGTTCCAGCCGGGAACTCAGGCCTCGCTCAGTGGCGACCAGAGGCGTGACCACGGCGGGCCAATAGGTTGCCGACTACGTGGCACGGCTACCGGCGTCTGAGCGCTGGGCAAGGCACTGCGCCATACGTAGCCAATGAGAGCCCGAGCGCGCTAGGCTGCTATGGGAACCTAGACAGGGACCGCGAGTCAGCCACCCATTGGTTGATCCGAAGGCAGAACTGGCGCCAACAGGGCGGCAGGCCTTCCTATTGCGGCTGGGTCCGCCCAGCCACTTCTCACCCCACCCGCTCGGCGCTGGTGGGGTGGAAGGAGGGGCCTAGGGCGTCAGGGGACTGCTGACCACGCCCGTCCATTTCCCTTGACTCCTGAGCTCCTCCAAAGACGCAGACAAACTTAGTTGCTAGCGGCTTTATTTTGACATACGCGACCTCAGACACAAGCAGAGTGGGCAACGCCGGGTGTACAGAAGGGTGGGCTCGGCCCGAGCACCCCCTCCCCTACACTCAAGGCCCGGAGAAAATGAAACCGCCCGAGGTGTGGCCAGAGCCACATGTTGTAATGGGGTGCAGGCCTCGGGTACTGTGTAGACTTGACCTCCGGAAAAAGAGTAGTAGATTCCCAGAATGGGAGGTCTTCATATTTCCCCGAGAAACAAAGGAACCAGGTCCTTCCCAGGGTTCTCCGTATTTTTCTCATTTTGAATCGCAACAACCAACCAAATGGTAGCTGCGAAATTCAAAGCAATCTGCATTCTAGGAAACGTGCACATAGCCAGGTGTGAGCATGAGAGCAGCGGCTACTGATCCAGCCATGGCCCTTGGTGGCAATCAAACGCCCACTGCATAGGCCCAGGGAAGGAAGGGCGGGTCCCTGGCAAGTTGCACAATAGTCCCCTTCCTCCTGAGCAGCACCCACAGCACACCGCTGTCCCTGCCCCTAGCCAGCATCAGCATTCCCCCGGGAGAAATATTGAGAGGGGCAGTCTGAACACCCCAACCATGATCCCATTTTGCGCTTTGGTCCAACTTTGGGGTTAGGCAGACAGAGGCCTGGCAAGGGTCAGGGTTCTGCAGCCTGGGACAGATAACAGGGCAGCAAGAGCATGTACAGTCACCACCAGCTTTCAGTTTATCAAGGCTGGGTCTCTAGGTAGCCAAAGTGCTGAAAAAGGGCCCTGTGCTGGGGCCGCTACAGCCAGGTCCCAGCCTTTCCACTCTTCCTGGTGCCAGAACCATGGATTATAAAGACGTTTTAAACCTTCCCTGCTGTTAGGGCAGCTCCCAGAACCTGGGAACCTGGGAACCGGGGAGGCACAACACATCCCCAAGCCGTCTCAAGTGACCCTGAACCCACTGTCTTACTTGCTACCCTGCCAGGAAGGCTGTCTACACTAACAGTGAACAACTGCCTTCATGGATGAAGCCACAGAGTAGTCGAGGAAAGATGGTTGTTACCAAAAATAAGCAAAGGTGTGCCTCCCAGCCCCAAGGAACAGAACCTACCCACCACTGGCCCCAGCCGGTGTCACCCGGCTGAGAGGTGGACTCGATCAAAGAGCCCATATTAGAGGGAAATCCATCGGTTACCAAGGCCTCTCAGACACAGGCTTACTTTTGAAACCAAAATAGGGACATGTCAAAAGTGACAATGTCAGTGACCCTATGCTTGGACAAGGGGGGCTAACCTTGGCAATGACCAAGTGCAGAATCACCTACTGGCCACCTTTGTTAAGAGGCAGCAAGTCTCCACACCATTGAGGGTTAGCAGCAAAAATCACTAAAACAAGGAGACCCTTGAGCCTTCACTACCTACAGTCAGGTCAGTGTCGAGCCACACTGCAGGCCAGCAAGAAAGGGCACTGGACCAGCAGAGAAACACTACCTACAATTCGTTCTGCTACTAGATCTTTTTTAAAAAGGCAGCACCTACTAACGAACGGCAAAAGCTCACCTCAGAAATGAGAAAGAATGTTTTTGCTGAGGACAGCATGAAAAAAATCAGTATGTACTAACAAGCAAGGCTACGTTCCAGGGGAAGTATCCCCATGAAATAGGGGTGGCATGTAGACATAGGACAAAATGACAGACCCCAGGGTTAATCAGACAAAGCTCTCATTAGCAGAATCTGGGCACCTGCACCCAGGGTCCAATGTCCCTAAGAACAGACAACCTTAAAGTTCTCCCTCTGGGACCAGGGCTTAGGATGCCTTGCAATGGGCTGCCTGCCTTGAGCTTGGCCTGGGAAAGAGCAAGACCCTGAGTGGACCACAGCCCTTGAGCCCTAAAGGAGCACCCATCTAGAAGCAACAGAGCTACCCAATCTAGAGGAAGGAGGCTCCCACCCATAGCATGGGAACAGCAAATACTGTCTGGAACACAGGCCCTGAGGCCTAAGTGGGCCCCAGAGTCATGCCCAGTGTCCCTAAAATTCATGAGGGGTAGCTCCCTCAGGCAAGGGATGCTGGCTGAGAGGCTGGCTGGGACTGTGGACAGAGGAAGAGCAGTTCACGTGTCAATGAGTCACTGGTGAAACGGGCCTGCTCCCTGCCACAGCTCAGCTTCATGAACCTAGGCCCATGCCAAAATCAGATCCAAAAAAGACAGGCCCAGCTGTGTAAAATCAGTAGCTGCTGACACTCACAGCACAAGACTAAAAAGCCCTCTACTTCTGAAGAACAAGGGGCAAATGGGCATGAATGGACCCTATATCCAGGGCTTCACCCCACAATTAGCAGGACCCTGAAATCACAGATCCCAAAGGCCAAGGCAAGAGAAGCCAAGGTCCCAGGGTACCCTGACTCTGCTGCCAAGCCAACCAGGGATGCCTCTTCCTTCCTAAGTCAGCCTGGACACAGAAGTCAGAACCATAAAGCTAAGAAGCCTGGCTGAGAGAGCAATATATTCTGCCCTCTTTCACTTTATATATATGGATTCCAGACTACAACTAAAAACATTTCTTTTAGTTTACACCAGAGAGAAATATAACCCTTTAAAAGTAAGTCTGTGTGTTCTCATGGCAAGTTCAGAGCAATGGTCCCTGTCTGCGGGTAGAGAGGAACGGGTACTGGGGGCCCAGAACTGGGCCTACTGGTTCTCGTCCCGCATCTGTTCCATGATGCTGATGAGATTTTCCAGGCCAAACACATAGCCTCTGTCTGGCCCATCGTGCACAGTGGGGTCATCCCGGAAGCCCTTGAAGGTGCTGTGTGCAAAGTCAATCATGCGGACATCCACTTTGGGAGGACAGGAAGGGCCTGCCTCAGGGTTGACGCTGCTGGGGCTAGTGCTGGGGCTGCTGGGTGGTGCCACCTCAGGAACCCCCATGTCCAGGTGCTTGAGACGGAGGTCAGATCGGCACTCCTTGCCATCATAGATGACAAGTAGAGAACTGGAGTAGAAACGGTAGGAGGCCTGCCGCTCCAGCACAGCTTTGAGGCCTCGAAGTTTGCTCAAGATAGGTTCAAAGAGGTCACGTCGCAGGTCCAGCCCATTGTGCAGGTACTGATAAAGGGCATTGCGGAAGCCTTCAATAGAGAGCCCACGGCCATAGTATTTGTTCCTGCAGAGGTAATGGCCTGTGTCCAGCTGATAGACCTGAAAGCCCAAGAAACAAGACATGGTGAGCACTGGGGAGTCTGATGACCTCAACAGTGCTTAGGCAAACATCACCCCAACAGTGTCCAGGCAAACATCACCTCAACAGTGTCTGGGCAATGACCAAGCTGAGCTTTCTGCTCCTCCAACTAGAGCAGAATAGGTCATGCTCATGCTGGATTTCCCCATTACAGAGCTACAACACCAATACTGGGTGCTGTCCTCCACACTCCTCTAACTAGGAACATACTGCTGACAGACAATAGCTTTATTTTTCCCAGCATCAAGACTGCAGGCTCTCATAGTGGCTATGTACTTGGAGCTCAGATCAAGGCCAACAGGTAAGAATAGAGGAATTCAGGGGTCACACTTGTAAGAATGTACTCAGCACCCTCTTGGAGATTCCAGAACAGTGGGGCCAGGAGGACAAGCACCCTGAAACATGCAGATGGCAGCACCTAGGCTGGCACCAGGGGTTGCTTACCTGCATGCCACAGACCCTGACCCCCAGAGTGGCAGATGTGCTCTGCTCACACTTCCTCATCTGCCGGGCCGCTTTTTCGGCTGATGCATCATCACCGTGCTGCCGGGTGCCCATCTTCAGGTCCAGCACGCAGGGGTACTTGAAATGATGAACCACATTCTCAAGCAGGAGGAATTCTGGGCTGGGGTCAAGAAGAACGGCAGCCACACTTGCCATCACTCTCACCCATGAAAGCACAACAAAGGTATTCTAGAAAAGGGGCGTTCTAGTCTAACGCAAACAACTCTCAAATGTGGACTTCACATGTATAGCTTATTAGTTCTTTAAAAATGTTTGTGACAAAACACATGTCTCATAAACTTTACCATTTTGGCTATTTCTAAATGTTTGGTTTTTGGGTTTTTTTTTTTTTTTTTTGGTCTTTTTCCTTTTTATTGGTACCAGGGATCAAACTCATGACTGCCTGCTTTCAAGGCAGGCGCTTATGCTGCTGAACTAAACCCCCAGCCCCAACTATTTCTAAATGTATACAGTGGCACTGAGTGTGTATTTACATCGTTGTACACTCACCACCACCTCCAGAATTTTTGTCTTCCCAACCTGAAATTCTTGTTCTCAAGTAACTGCTTATGTGCACTCTCCAGAACCCCTGGGAAACAGATACACTACTTTGTGTCTCTGGGAGTTTTTCTGTTTAAGGGATCTCATACCAGTGGAATTGTACAGCGTTTGTCCTTTTAAGTCTGACTTTACTTCACTTAGCAAAATGTCTTCAAGGTTCATCCATGTGTAGATGTATCAATTTCATTCCTTTTTTATGGATAATTTTCATATATATTTCATATGTGTGTGTGTTTGTGTGTATCTCGCATCAATTCATTTTAAAAAATCTTTAGATTTAACCTGCAGACAATAAATCAAAGATTTGGCAGGACCCCAGTCACCACCAAAAAACCAAGGCTCTATGCAAGCTAGCACCTCACCCAGATCTAATAAGGAAGACATCTTTGCACCACCACCACCAAAACCAAGAATTCAAATTCTAACATTCTCAACAGGAATTTTTAGAAAATGCTGGATTTCAGTATCTGTCTGGAGATGGGGGTATATAGCTGAGTGGTAAAGTGCCAGAGAAGCACAAGGCCCTAGGTTCAATCTACCCAAAAAAGAAAATCTACCTTATAACTGTCTCATTAAATGTTTTAATCAGCAGACTTTATAAACATTCCATAACACTGACTGTCAATGCTGTTTTGTTTTGCTTTTAGTTTTTGAGACAGACTTGTGTTATGTAGCCAAGTTTGGCCTCCAACTCACTGTGATCCTGCCTTCCCAGTGCTAGAATAACAGGCGTGTGCCATCATGCTCAGCTCTACTGTCAAATTTTTTCCATGTTCAAAAGAAGAAAAAAAAACATGTTAATGAACATAACAGAAACTATGAAAAAAGGAGATAAAAACAAAGAAGGGTTCCTGGATGGAGAAAGGATCTCAGTTCTGGAAGGAGTCCCAGAAGCAGTGCTGAAGAAGGGGAGATAAGGATACTGTAGAGCTTTCGGTCCTTGGACTCAGAGCACATTCGGCTCAGTTGCTGCTTGTGACAGCGTAGGCTCCAGGGGTTATGGCTGATCTTCTCAGAACTCAGGCCGCTGTTGCCATCGAGCATCTGGAAAGGGACGTCTGAATGGCTATGAAGCTCCACCTTCAGACTCCTTGCCTCCTGGGAGCTAAGAAGAAGAACAGACATCACTAAGAGACTCAGGCAAGTCATTCTTGGAGACAAAGGGAGGAGGAGGACTGGATCAGATCTTATCTGCTACCCACAGACCTTGACAGGGGCCCCAGAAATGTGAGCCAATAAAAGTGAGCAAACTGCATGAGTAGTGCTATTCCTGTGTCTTGAAAAACTGGCTGGAAAATAATTATTTATGATGAAAATATAACAGTAAGTCCCTGACTTAAGAACGTTTGAGTTATGAACTTTCACAGATGCAAATGGACTTCACATTATGATCATTCATAGATGCAAAAGCATCATGGAAATAGCTTGCATGTCTGCCAGGTGTTGTCACGGTTGTGCTGCTGTGTACTCACTGCACAGTGCAATAGTGTAGAGTGGTACACTCAGTGCTCAATCAGAGCTCAGTGCAATAGTGTAGTGTACTTGTTCTTGTATACAGTGTACTTGTACACAGTGCAATAGTGTAGAGTGGTACACTCAGCGCTCAATCTGAGCTCAGGATTTCCAGAAGCAAGAGGAAAAGCAGTGATGATATGGAAGAGACTGCTAGGCAGCACAAAGCAGTAATTATGGAAACAAAAGTGAAAATAGTTGAAAGAATGGGCTGAGGTAAAAAGATGGTACTGTACTACAATTTTAAGATAACTAAAAGTAAAAAATATTTACAGTATGTGTATTTTTTTATAATTTACATTGTATATATGTATCAAAAATATATGCCATTCACTTTGTCGGACTTACACACAAATCTGACTTAAAGATTCTCCTGGAACAAAACTCAGCCTTAACAGGGACTTGCTGTACTGCACATCCACTAGGACTGCCAGCATCAAAAGAAAGATACTGCAATAGTGTGGAAGTGAAGAAGCTGGAATTCTCCCTACATTGCCGGCGGAAAGGTAAAATGGTGCAGCCTCTGTGAAAAAGTTTGGAGTTCTTCACAATCTTCCACAGAGGTTGGGTATGCTGAGGGATGCCTGTAGCTAGCGGGGAAGGTTAGACAGGAGAATCACCTGAGCTCAGAATTTGGAGGCAAGCTTTGGCAATACAGCAAGACCTATGTCTTCCACTACAAAAAAAGTGGAGCATATTTCAGACCTAGATGATATACATACATATACATAAAAGAAAAAAAGAAGCTGGACATGGTTGCACATTTGCAGTCCTAGCATCTGAGGAAGCTGAGGCAAAAAGATCACAAGTTTGAGCACAGCTGGGCAACTTAGTGCTACTGAGACCCTGTCTCGAAGTAAAAAATTAAAGGAGGCTAGAGACACAGTTCAGTCTAAAGGCTCAGAGTTCAACTATCAGCACTTTAAAAAAAGGTTAAAATGGTTATTTTATAAATGTGAAAAAAAATTTTTTTTATTGGTACCAGGGATCGAATTCACAAACCGCCTGCTTGCAAGGCAGGTGCTTATGCTACCGAGCTAAATCCCCAGCCCCTAAATATGAATATTTAAAATATGTGATGAAGGTACAGTGTCAAACTGAACAAACATGGGGCAGAACATATGATGCAACTATCAAAGACACAAGTAACTGTTCTACCTTCATCTATAACACCTGTAAGTGCTAGTTTTAGAAAGATTTTAAAAAGCATATGTGGACATCACGTTTATGAATTGCCTATCTTTGCATCAGGTCTGGAAGAAGGAATATACTACACAAAAAAAGCCAGACAAGTCTACCCTGAGCAGATCAGCAGGCTCCCTCAGGGGTTACACTGATACCTATGGAAACCATGAAGCCATTTAAGTGAGAGAATTTTATTTCTAAAATAAGTCAAACCACAAAGGCATTTTGGAAGGAAGGTATTAATTAAAAATAATTAAAGTATGCCATGACTTGGCTACATTATAACATAAAAATCTTTGCTTAAAGTAACTGTCAATACTGTTTTCCAGGGCTGGGGGTTTAGCTCAGCAGCGTAAGTGCCTGCCTGGGAAGCGCCTGTCTGGCAAGCGCAAGGTCATGAGTTCAATTCTGAGTACTAATGATCCCTGGTACTAAAAACAAAAAATGAAAAATAAAAAAACCGTTTTTGATACTGACAAGCCCAGAAAAAGCACAGTCCTGATGAAGCCACTGGTGCTCTGGACACTGGAAAGCGAGCCACAGCTCTCACCACAGCAGCCTCATATGCCCTCCACACATGGCCCTGCAACTACCAGCCATCCTTCTGCCGACTAAGACAAGCCACAGCTCAAGCTGACCAGTGGAACTGTGTGCCGCAACCTTGTTCCTTCTCTGAGTCACTATGGGAAGCTCTATGGTGCAGGCTGTGGCCCTGAGGTCCTGACAGGGATCACATCCCTTTACTGGAACTAGAGAGCCACGAACGCCTGACATCACTTTTGTTTTTTTCTGGGGAGGGCACTACTGAGGCTGTCACAGATGCCTTTCTTGTCATTCTTTAGAAAACTGTAACACTGACTGATTTACCAAGTAAATCCAAACAAGCTCTTCAGCTGGGGTCCCTGTGGCATCTGGCATCACCTTTGACGTGTCACCCCTGGCCCAGTGAAGAATTGAGCTCCACCCTGGAGTGACTCAGTTTCTGCTTAAATGGTCAGAGAGAAACATAGCCCCTGTGAGTGGGTTCCTGCACACCACAGTTGTGAACCTGGACCCAAGGTTTTTATTTTTGAGACTGTCCTGCTATATATAGCCCAGGATGGCCTTGAATTCACCATCCTCCTGCCTCAGTCTCCAGTCACTGTGACTACAGACATGAGCTACCACACCCAATCTTGAGGTCAGTCAATGTTCGCTGGCTTCTCACCAGATGACTTATGAAACAAATTCTGTACCTTTGAAGGACACAAGAAAGCCCATTTAAAGGGCTCCTGGGAAAGAATCTTCGACCACAGGCAGCTACAGACTTGGGGACCATTCTGTGTCCCACAGTATCAGTCGAGGAGAAGTGAAAGGGAGTGTACTGCAAGTGCTTTTGCAGGCTAGAGCTCGCTGGTCACAGAATGTTCACCATCCAGGGACGCTAGTGGGCTTAGTAAGAAATGCCCTCTCCCTGCATCAGAGAAGCACAGCTGGCCACTCATCAAGGACACAGAAACAACATGATACACAATCAACCAGAACTCTGGTGGTTTTCTGTGTCCCTTAGCATGAAAAAACAGTAACTGAGCAAAGTGGGAATATCCTCGATTCTGAACAGAGCTCTGAGAACTAGTATGGATGTGTGCTGGTGAGCTGCTCTCATGTCAAACATGACCTCTGTATTGTCACATAAGCAAATTCCAAAATTCCCACTTTTTTTTTTTTTTTTTTTTTTTTGGTGTGCCAGAGGTTGAACTCAGGACCTCACACTAGACAAGCATTTTACTACTGAGCTCCTCCACAAACCCCAGTTCTGAATTCTGAATCAAGTCACAAAGCTTATTAATGAAACTTTTTGGGTTTTGAAACTTACTTTTACATGAAATTAAAGTTATTTAGTTATATAATTTTTGTTTCATTTTGATATAAAAAGCTCATATTAATTTTATTATTTTTACCATTTAGTGGCTTTTTAGTATATTCACTAGCTTGTAAAGTTTGGGTTGGACATCCTGTAACAGTGGTGGCGAATATATTGGACATGTTACTATGTTTTCCTTTTAAAATAAAAGATACTAATGTATGAATTGTTTTTTTAAGACTAAAACCTTGGCATTCAGATTTAATTACAGGGCTGCCACTTTGTGACAAATAAATGGGTTTTGGGTTGCAGTTTGATACACAGTCTCTAAAGGATTCACCACCACTGCCCAAGAGGTTAGAAATTAATCTTTCTTGCACCATTTTGGTGAATGAACCTAGGGCATGCTGAGCTACTCCCCTATGCAACACTTGTTTTTATTCCTGAGATAGGTTCTTACTAATTGCTAGGCTGGTTTCCAATTTTCAATCCTCCTCTCAGCCTCCCAGCTATCAGGGATTACAGGAATGTACCACACACCTAGTCTTGTGAGTATGAGACATGCTTCCACAGGGCACAGAGAGCTTCAACTTCTATCAACTAGTTACAGCTATACCCAGAAAGAACCATTATTAGGGTGATGTAACCACAGGGGCAGCCATATCTACAAAGACCCCAAAACTCCAGCTACCCTTAATTTTGACAAGTGCTTCTCCAGGATGTGTCAGGACTCTAAGATGTTGTGTGTACTTCTGCCAACAAGATGACACACATACTTACACTTCTGGTCACTATCTCTTACCTCTCAGAGGTCTCAAGCGACAAGGTGGCTTTCTCCTCCTTGTGGTCACTGCCACTGCCTGACCGATGCAGGCTCCGGCGGGAATGTTTGCGCCGAGGTTGCTCCCGTTCTGGAGCATCATCCTGCTCCATGGTCTCACTTTCCACATAGGGGTAGGCCACCAAGTTGATGTAACCATCACTGTCCCCCTCAAAACAGACAGATACCACACCTGTTAAAAAAAGGGGGGGAGGGGAGCCAGCCAAGTCAACAAATGTCCACACAGGCTGGGTCTATGCAGCACACATTGTCAGCACTCATCTTGCACAATATGCAGGCACCAGCTGCCCTGGACCAGCTGTAGTCTGATGTAGGAACAAAGGCAACAGGTACCACCTTTCCAGAAGACAGAGGACCATTGCCCATTTAGTGAGTCTATTCTTTACCTCCAGACTTGGGCAAATCTCTCCTACCTAGCTCTTTCGGTTAGAGTTACTGATTTCTAGACCACTAACAATAAGTTGTTTCTAGGTGACATCCACACTCAACATACATTAACTTACTTAACAGTGCTGCCACTTCGTATTTCTCCTTTGGATCTTGTTTCCTTCTGCCTGACAGGGCCCCTAAAGAGATATCAATATTTTCCTAAGGTGATTCCCAAAATATGTTCTGTCTACACTGAGTGAGCATCTGCCTCTCTGTAGAGACTTTACACCCTGGCATGTCTAAGATGAAATGCCTTTCCTGTTTCCCTGCCATATCCTTGGAAATTCTATTGTGTCCACAAGCCTGGGCAGTTTCTTCTGGATCATTAACAAAGGCGTTAAAAAAAGAATTATGTATCTGTCCTACATTTCATCTCTCACCTTCTTGGTGTACATGACTGGTTCAATAATCTGAAAATTACTGAGATGCACTTATGAATGTCACTATGCTAGACCCATTTATATTCTCCTTTTTGGCCCATTATTTTCTCTAGGTGGACAATGCCCCAATCCCTGAGTTCTTTTAGGGGAAAAAAATGAATTTTTTCCTCCTCCTTAGGTCTCATATACATTACTTAAATCCAAGGCTTATCCTTATTTATTTGGTACTGGGGATTGAACTCACCACCTCATACTTGCCAGGCAGGCACTTATGCTGCTGAGCTAAATCCCGGGCTCTGACCAAGCCTTATTTTGGAGGGATCTTCCACATACCTGGCTGCCTCACCTACTGGTTCTCACCTTTGTCTGTACTGCAGCCTCCATTCTGTTCACATCTGAATGCCCTCCGATACCATTTACAGGGCTTGGTCTCATGCTCCAATCTCCTGTCCCCCAGCTCCCAAAGTTGGGCTCTTCCCTTTGCTGTTGACCCAGCAAAGGACTAATCTTTCTATAAGCCTCTACTCTTTCCCTCTTGATTTACTTGTGTGGCTCAATTGTATCTTCACAGAACCTCCTATGAAAGGGTGTCTAAGAGTTGAGTCCTTTGTTCTGGTGACAGTTTGACTGAAGACAGAGTTCTATGTTGTCTGCAAATTTTTATTTCTGCCTACCCAGCCTGGATGCCCCCATACCACCAGAAAGACAGCAACAAGAATGGAGAGCACAGATAAGACCCGCTCCCTACCTGGCTGTGAATTTAGGGGGAAATCGTAGCTTCATCACCATGCATGATGCCACTAGCTGCAGATTCTTCAGGAACAGGATATTTCTGTCTATTCCTAGTTTGCTGAAAGTCTTGACTGCTCTTGCTTTATCAAGAACAAATGCCAAATGCCTTCTAAAATTTTTTTCCAGTTTTTTTGAGATGAGCTCTCGGTAATGTAGTTCAGGCTGGCTCTGAACTAACCATGTAATCCAGGCTGCCCTTGGACTCGGCAATCCTCCCGCCTCAGCCTCCTTAGTTCTAGAATTACAAGAATGTGCCACTGTGTCTAGCTTTCAAATGCTTTCTATTCATGTACAGAAGTGATCACATGCATTTGGGGTTTTGTTTGATTTTGTTTTTTTGGTATCAGGAATCTAACAACCTCGTGCTTGCTAGGCAGGCGCTTATCATATGGGTTTTTTAAAAGATAAGGTTAACAAGCAAATTATACTGATATTTTTCTCTTTTTTTTTCTGAGATTGAGTCTTGCTCATGTGGTCCAGACCAGTCTATAATTTTCAATCCTTCTGCCTCAACCTCCATGTATAAGCTACCATATCTGGCTTACTGTTTTGACTTTTGAACCTTATACCAAATTTATATTACTATATGGATGTTGTGGACATACCTGTAACCCAGCACTCTGGGAGACTGGGTGACTGGGAAACAAATCAAGCCTAATCTGGGCAACTCAGGAGGACCTTTACTGAAAATAAAAAAAGGCTGAGAATATAGCTTGTTGAGATCAATCCTTAGCACTGGAAAAAAAATCTAAGAAACAACTAACTTGCATCATTCAGACAAACCCCATTTGGTCATGATGTACATTATTATCCATTTAATATATCCTCAGATTCAAGCCAGGTACAGTGGTACATGCCTATTATTCCAGCAGTCAGGAGACTGAAGTAGGAAGATAGCAATGAATTCAAGGCCAACCTGTGCTACATGGCAAGACCTTGCATATATACATAGATCCCAAGCTTGGATTTGATCTGCTACAATTTTGTTCACATAAGTTACATCTAAATTCATGGGGGATATTTTATTTTCTAATAATGACCTCACAGAAGGATTTGGGAACTACTCCTTCTTCAAAATTTCAGTGTAAAACTGGTTGTATTTCCTTACTTAATATTTGGTACAATTCACCAGTGAAGGCATCTGGGCCTAGAGTTTTCTTTGTGTAAATATTTTATACTCTGGTTCCAATTTGTTTAACAGACAGGGCTAATCAGGTTGATTACCCATTTCTTCTTAATTTAACAATTTTTAATTACCACATGTTTATAGCACATAATAATTACATTCATTCTGGGGAACTGGGACATATCTTAGTTCCTTCTATTTCCCCTTCCTCTCCTATCTTTTTTTAAGTGCTTTTTTGTTGTTTGTTTTTTTGAGATGTGGTCATGCTATGGAGGTCAAACTGCTTTGATCTCCATAGCCCACGCTGGCCTCAAACATGCTGTAATTTTCCTGCCTCACCCTCCCAAGTGTGGGGATTATAGGTGTGTACCACCATGCCTATCCTATCTCTTCTTGAGTAAACTTTGGTAGGTAATGTCTTTCAAAAATTTTGTTCCCAGACTATCAAATGCTGGAGGGGCTGTGGGGAAAAAGAAACCCTTCTCCACTGCTGGTGGAAATGCAGATTGATGCAACCATTATGAAAATCAGTGTGGAGATTTCTCAAAAGACTAGGATTGGAGGTCCCATTCAGCCCAGCTATTTCCCTTCTAGGTATCTTTCCAAAAGTATTAAAAACATACCACAGCAATATATGTGCACCCGTGTTTATAGCAGCACAGTTTATAATAGCCAGATCTAGGAAATAACCTAAATGCCTATCGAGTGAGGAATGGATAAAAAAGATGTGATATTTTTATACAATGCAGTACCACTCAGCCATAAAGAAGGATAAACTAGACTCTTTTATAGGTAAATTGATGCATTTTGAGAAAAAACTCATTAGTGATAAGACATGTGTAAACATCGTATTGCTTCAATAGTGTGAAAATCTGAAAAAAAATCATGTATATATGTATATATATATATATATATATATATAAAATAATAGTTAAAACAGTTATACTACTAATTTCTCTGAGTTCACTGAAGGGAAAGATTTGTGCTGGTATTGTTCACACAATTAAAGGCAGATGTCCTGTGCTCTAGGAGAATGATTTGGGGATGATAATGTACAATGTAGGTACCATTGCTGCCCCCCAATTGATGTGCTTTGAAAGTTTAGTTTGTGGTAGTTTTACTTATCTTTTTGTGGTTGTCTTCTTTTTTAATCCTTGAAATAAAATGGATTTGAAAAAAAATTTGTTGCTAGGCTCAACAGCCCACCCCTGTAATCTCACCTGCTTAGTTAGGAGGCTGAGAAGGGGGCCGGGAGGTGGAGAGAGGGGAGAGGTGGATGAAGGAAGAGTGAAGGTGTGTTAGTGTACATGCAGGTTCCTCAGGAGGGGTGTGACCGCTTGTACTGCACAATAAAGAGGAACTAGGGGAATTTGCAACCACCAATTCAACTCTACAGAGAATACTGCAGGATATACTAAAAAAGGAAGATACCAAGACTTCAGAAACAGTGGCAGAGAGGCTACAATGAATGGAGCAGAAAGCGAAATAAAGAAGACAAACTGACAACTAATGACAGAAAAACAGCTCAACAGAAATGAGGCAGAGAAGGTTGAATGGTAGGAACAGCTATTGTGGAGAAAACAAGATATCATAATAGCTAATGCTGATTTAATATCATCTTGTTTTGAAGTCCCATCAAGCTTTTGGTCTTCTGTCTCCATCGGTCTTAACATGTTGTATCTTATTGCATTTTATTATATGTGATAATGTTATCACATTTTTTATATGTGATAAAACTTTATTATATGTGATAAAACTTTTATAGACAAGGAGATTATACAGAAACCATTGTTCATTTTCTGTTAGTTGGTTCTCAATACCCTGTAATACTGTCATTCTCTTGAATGGTTTTACATTGTCTTGATATGTTTGATGCTACAGTTACACTCAAAGATTTCAAGGAAAGAGACACTATGGTAACTACTTTTATGTTGGGATATCTTGTGGTGAAACACTATTTTGCTTAAATGGTTGTTTTGACCTGTGCTGTTTTGTTGTTATGTCCTCTTTTATCTCAATCTTTTTTATTATTTACTTTTTTATTTTTATCATTTTAATTAAGGAAAAAATAAAAAATAGCAGGATATATTATAGTAACCCACTTTGATTTCTTATTAACTTGATTTGAAACCCTGTATTGCTCTCACCATCTTGTTTTGACTGATTTTCCTCTATTCTGTTTTGCTTGATAGTACCAAGTTTGAGAGTATAGGCAACAACTGTGAAGACAGTAAGATTCACTATGACGCCCATTCTGGTTTGACTATTATCTTCTTTTGAAGTCCTGTAATGTCTCCAATGTTTTGGTTTTATTGGTTTTGTTCTTTACTGTTTTGTTCAATTTTATTATAACTGATGGTATAGGCAATTCTTTTTAAGATAGCAAGAGGCAGTATGGTAACCATTGTTGATTACATAGTATTCTGTTTTTACATTATGTATTAT